ATCCCTTTAATTGACAATTTTCATATAAAACAAAGTTAAACGAACATCAAAACCACTTTTATTTCAATATTTTCCACGTGGAAAATCATACTAATCAAACACAATAATTTACAATTTTGAGTAAAACAATTTTTAGGCAATTCAATTCCCTGACATTCGTTTTTTTCCACCCAAATTCCTTTTTTGCAATCAAACGGACCCTAATTATCTTTTGGAATCTGTCTTAACAGTTTGGAAGCTATTAACAGGGAAAGAAGGCTTTTTCTAATTTCTCTGTACTTCTGTATATGGGGTGAAGCTGCCAATGTCCGTTTTCTTCCTGAATGTCTATGCTATATCTTCCACCGTGTAAGTCTATGGGTTTTTAGCACTTTATGTCCTGTTTATGGATTAGTTTGAATTTTTTTATTTGGAGTTCTTTTACAAATCTTTCTTTTTGATACATCAATCTTTTAATTTTCACATGTTCCGACTTTTGTATGTCCTTCTTTATTGATTTTATTGCCAATAGTTCTGAGATTAAAGTAAAATACAAGTTGCTAAGTGCAAAGCTTGCTATGAAGAATGATGGGAACTTGATTAGCTAGCTTTATGGCTTGAATATTGCCGTTATGGGTGGATAATATTAAAAGAATGATCGTCTTTTTATTAAGAAAGAAAATTAATGAACTTGTTATCATTGATACTTCAAAAAAAAAGCCAGGGGAGACTGATGTTTATCTTTGCCGTCCCCTTCGGTCTTGGGATATCTTTGAAGGTTTTCACGGCAGATCGTAATCTATCTATGCGAGCTTTTAACAAATTTAATCAAATATCAGAGTGCTATTCTAAATATCTAAAATTTAATATCATGACTTCCTGAAGTAGTTTTCAAATTTTTTGTCCTTGGTTTTTTGCCAATTCCAGAGCTGATTTACTTAATGTCATAAATGGAATTGCTAATTGATCAAGTTGTCAATGCATTTTATCTGATTCCCTCTGGCTTAGTATCTTTTATGTTTTTTTTTGGTGGGTGTGGAATTTGCAGGATGTTTAGATATTTTTTGTTCAATCCTTTTGCTGTTGATGTTAACATTTCTTGTTCAGATGGCAAGGGATTTAGATGCAATTTTGGATCGTGGGGAGGCTAGTCACGCTGCAAGTTGTACAACTGAAAATGGTCCTACCTCCTTTCTAAAACAAATCATATGTCCCATATATGAGACAATGGCAGCAGTGAGTACCTTTCTATTTATGTATTTCCGAATCTCTGACAATTTTATGAACTGTAGTGACTAAAATTTTATCATGCCTTCCTTAACACTTCAAATACGAAGTGCATCGTAATATAAAATGCTTATGGATTTATCCTCATGCTCCTTTGCTTTGTTTTCACTTTAGTTTGAGTAAAAAGTGCCAAGTCAGTCTTCTACTTCTGTATTTGAGTTTTCCTGCTATTACATGGATTTAACTGACTTTACAACTTGCAAAAATTTCTCCTTAAAACTTCTAAAGCTGACTTTAATCCTCAATATTACTTTCTTTTTCTTTGTTGCCTGTCTCTCAGTGATTTATGTGTATCCAGGAAGCTGCCAGGAACAATAATGGGAAAGCTGCCCACTCAGAGTGGAGGAATTATGACGACTTTAACGAATATTTCTGGTCAGTTAATTAAATTTGCTACTATTTTTTGCTTTTGTGGAATATTTTGTTGTCTTGTAACTCTGTTTGAACGTTGTAGGACACCTGGTTGCTTTGATTTGGGTTGGCCTATGAAAAAGGATTCATCATTTCTGCGGAAGCCTCCTAGAAAAGGAAGAAGGGTTGGTTTTGATTATGGTTTCTTTCTATATATTCATATTCAATTGTATGGTGATTACTAATTTGTTATAGTTCATAAGATGTTCATCTTTCTGAATACACATTGTTGGATGTTGAATCTGATAAATGGTTTATGAAACTTGAAGCTTTCCTTTTGTTCCTTATACATGACAGACTGGTAAGAGTTCATTTGTTGAGCATCGGACTTTTCTTCACTTATATCGAAGCTTTCACCGTATGTGGATCTTTTTGATTGTAATGTTTCAGGTAAATGTTTGTTTCTATTTATTGCTCTATATCAAATGTCAGATATTATGCTGTTCTGTATGCAGTTAACCTCTTCTTCACATCTATCTGATTTTCAGGCTCTTGCTATCATTGCTTTCAACCATGGAGAACTTAATCTCAATACTTTCAAAACACTGCTTAGCATTGGCCCGACGTTTGCTGTCATGAATTTTGTGGAGAGTAAGCTGTTTATCTGCTGCATCATCCTCTTTTTGCTACCTTGTCTGATTACTTATTTCATAATTCCATATTCTGCCTCCTTCTTTGTTTTAGTTCACTTTGTCTTGTTGCTTCTTATTTAGGTTGTTTGGATGTTGTCCTACTGTTTGGGGCTTACACTACTATGAGATGCATGGCCATATCAAGGCTTGTTATTAGGTTCTTTTGGTGTGGATTGAGTTCCATTTTCGTGCTCTATGTCTATATGTAAGTTTTATTCTCTTCATTTCATTTGTATCATAATGGATTAGCATCTAATGTAGTTTATAACATGATAACACAATGAGTTTCAGGAAAGTTTTGGAGGAAAGGAATAAGAACACCTCAGATTCATTCTATTTTCGAATTTATGTCCTTGTGTTGGGTGTATATGCTGGTTTACGCTTAGTTTTCGCCTTTCTTCTTAAATTCCCGGCATGTCATCGACTCTCTGAAATGTCTGATCAATCATTTCTCCAATTTTTCAAGTGGATTTATCAGGTATATTCTTCTTGTTCTGCATTGTGTCCATTATCATTTTTGAAGTTTACATTTGGTAAATTTTGTGATTGTTTTCAGGAACGATATTTTGTCGGCAGAGGTCTTGTCGAAAAGACTACCGACTATATGAGGTTTGATTTCATTTTCTTGAAAAGATTGTGGTGTTCCGTTCAACTGAATAATTCTTGAGAGTAGGTTTATGCCTGTTTTTATTTGTCTTAGATGGAACTTCTCATGTTTCGCATGGTTATTGTTTATTCCAGTAAATATAACCTGAAAGGAATTTTATTTTGAGGAGATGCTAACAAGATTATCAAGCATTGTTCTTTGAAATGTTGATTGAGAATATATTTATTCTAAGCTTGAGAAGCATAATATTTAATTGTTTCTCTTTAATGCTTTCTTTATGTTTTCATTCAATTATAAAGAATATTGCCCATTAACACTTTATGAATGATACATGAGAGGCCAGGAGATTATCTTCATTTTGTTTGTTTTCTCAATTATATTTGTTTGTTCACATTGGATGTATCTAAGCATGATTAAAAACTTGAGATATTTCAGTACCAGTAATGGGCATTTCAATTTGAAATCATAATTATTATCTGCTAAATGTATTGTAGACCAGCGTGCTCACACACGCAGTAATGCATGTTGGTGAATCATAATTTCGTATTCATCGTCTCAAGTTGCTTAGAATTGCTAATCACTTGTGAATGAAGCTGGTAAAAGTTTAAAGCAATAGGAACAAGGAAAATGAATAAATGATTAACAAACTGTGTGTTGTAAACATGTATCTTATACAATTTATTGAATTGTTACATATGATGTGACCCTTTTCAACGTACTGATATATGTTCCAGTAGACTTTGAAAATCTTATTGTGTTATCTAGTTGCTTGAATTTGAACTGACTGAGTTGTATTTTTAGCAATCTTATGTTGATGTATTCCTACTGCCACAGTAACTATTTGATATTTTCATTATTACTTTCCATTACTGCAGCTATGTGTTCTTCTGGTTGGTGATCCTCGTTTGCAAATTCACATTTGCCTACTTTCTTCAGGCAAGTCACGATATATTATTATTAAACATAATTTTTATTGTTATATATAGCATTAACCTTCTCTGTTCAATCAGAAACAGTAATATTAGTAATGGTAATTAATGCAGATTAAACCATTAGTTGAGCCGACCAACATAATTGTTGAACTTCCATCATTGACGTACTCATGGCATGATCTCATATCAAAGAGTTAGTTTATTTACTTTCTATGTTTCTTTTACCATTAGTTTTGAAAAGTTTCAAAACCTGGAGGTTACTTTGACAAAAATTTCGACAATTTTTTGTACAGTATTTCTGTACTCACATGCAGAAGTAATATGCTATTACACATCTCACTAAAAGATTAGAGTAGAAGCTTAAAAGATAGAGTTCCTGCTCTCTGACCTTTCGCTCGAAGGAAAATTTATACACTTACTTTGTTGCTTTGTTTTTCTTTAGATTATTTAGTGACCTCGTGTCAAATCTGATGCTTTCTTGTTACTTCTTTGCTGCAGACAATAACAATGTGTTGACTATAGTTAGTCTGTGGGCGCCTGTTGTGGCTGTGAGTATTTGTATCTATTTGCCTCATGCATCTTGGTGCAGTATAGAATTGGTCTGTTGAAAACAAAGACTTTTAGTGTAGAATTTGTTAGTGTTTTACCAGAACTCCCTGGCGGCATATACATGTCAGTTGAAACTGATAAATACATGTGTACTTGGCTACTCAGATACATGTATAAAAAAATTTTGTTTCGCTCTTTAGTCCGTAACTACTATCTTTTAGTTGATGGAAAATTAAAAGTGTCAATGATAGGCAGGTTTAACAACTCATGTAAGCTGCACTGTGTAATTCTTAACCCTAAACCCTGGAAATTTCTTTTTTTTGATAAGTCTAAACCCTGGAAATTCGTATTCTCTATAAAGTACATTCCATCTCATCAACACGAGTTCCATGTCTAAAACATCCTTAAAACGCTTTAATGTTTCACTGAAGTTAATTTTCCAGCATATGCATAAATGGGCACTTCTTCGTGGTCCACTAACTGATTTGGTGGACTGCTTTAGATTAGTCATTAGCTTCGTAGAAGACATTGAACTCCAAATACTGGGTGTCTATAAGACTTCTAGTGATCCTGGCTGCCTGACAACTAAAGATTGACCGTTTCCTGGACATTTATTGGGAAGATATCTTTCTCCTCAAGGCTGTCAATAAGGCTTTCTATACCAAATGAATATTGATGTTCATGAACTGGCACATAGAATCCCGCTTTTCCCCACCATTTTACAATTTCATTATGTAATTAGTGTTTTATTTTATTGTCTATTTTGATTGATATTTCTCTCTCCACATCTATCTGAGACTACAGATTTATATTATGGACATTCACATATGGTATACACTCTTATCTGCAATTTATGGCGCTGTGATGGGTGCTAGGGCTCGCCTAGGGGAGGTATCAATATGATTCTATATCTGCTATAATTAATTCATTCATTTTTATTTGTTTTGAAATCTATTGAAGTAGTGCGCTTTCTATGTAAGTACTAGTTTACTGATGCTAATTTAATCTCTATATTTTACTGACATTGGTAACTCTATTGCTTGTTTGCTTTGAATAATTCTTTTTGCAGATTCGTTCAATTGAAATGGTCCATAAACGTTTTGAGAGCTTTCCGGAAGCCTTTGTCAAGAACCTTGTTTCACCGCAGATTAGAAGGTTAATATATGGAATCAATTAGTTATATATTGGTGGATGTGTTATAGTGGTATCATTATTTATTACCATTCCACTGACATGTTAATAATCATGGTTTGTAGGCTGCGTTTTGATAGACAATCATCACAGGTTAGTTAATTCTTGGGACCTTTACCTGTTATCTTTTATGTTGAATCTTCTCTGGTGCCATATTCGTATATCGAAGTCAATGATTTTGTTTAGTTTGCTGGTAATTTGTTTTCCTTGTTTTGGTGTGGGGTTTTAAAAATACACTTGCAGACATGTATTTGGCTTTTCCAACTTCTTGCATGGCTGTAGTTGATCTTTAATGTGCTGAACTATTTTGGACAGAGTACCATTGTTGTCTCATGAGAATGTGACAATGATTTATTTGTGCGTGATGGATTATCATTAGTACACAAGATAGCTCAGCATAAATATAATTCAAATTATTGCAATGATAAATATGTTTGACGGATTAGCATTAGCATGCATAAATATAATTTAAATTTTTCCAATGATAAATACAACAATTTCACCTTTATATGTATATCTGTCCTTTTACTTGTGAGTAGTGTTTGTTATTGGTAAACATACTGTTATTATTATTATTATTATTATTACACACACACACACACATATATATTTGTTTTTTCTGATTGCAATGATGCTTGGTTCCCAGACTTCTCATGACAATAACAAGACCTATGCAGCCTTCTTTTCCCCCTTTTGGAATGAGATCATCAAATGTTTGCGTGAAGAAGATTATATTAGTAACAGGTAAAAGGCCAGGACTGCCAGGAGGCACTTGGTTGATTATTGTTTTTCCCTTTGCTTCCCTTCCCTTTGCTGAACATTCTTGTTGCTTCTATTTTGTGCTTCTTCTTCAATCACTTTTAAGGGAGATGGACTTGCTTTCTATGCCGAGCAATGCTGGAAGTCTGACATTAGTCCAGTGGCCACTTTTTCTTCTTTGCAGTAAGGTACTTCATCGTTAACTTTTCTTCTTGTCTTGATTGCCTGAAGAATTCGGTGTTTGTTCCATATAATTTTGTGTTACTGACAAATCTTATTTTGCAGATCTTGTTGGCCGTAGATTTAGCTTTGGATTGTAAAGACACGCAAGAGGATCTTTGGAGCAGAATTAGCAAGGATGAGTACATGGCATATGCCGTTCGGGAGTGTTACTACAGCATAGAAAAAATTTTGCACTCTTTAGTTGATGGAGAAGGGAGACTTTGGTATGATGTTTTTACTCTCTGAATAAAGGAATAAAGTTTTGCTGTCCTATATTTCTTTTTAGGAAAGACAAGATGTTCTGTTCTGATGTCAACTTCTTTGTGCTTATTTCTTTCACAACAGGGTTGAAAGAATATTTCGTGAGATCAACAGCAGCATATCAGAGCGGTCACTTGTCATTACTCTGTCTCTTAAAAAGCTTCCAGTAGTGCTGTCAAGATTTACAGCTTTGACTGGGCTACTGGTAAAATCTTTCTTTGATCGATCCGAACTGCTAATCATTTTAATAATAGTAATCTGATTCTCATTTCCGAGAAATTTATACTGTCGCTTCTTGAAATGTGACTGGATATGTCAGTTGAGGAGTTTCGACAACTGGATTGCCCCTGACCTATATTTCACTTTGAAAGATGAAAATGAAGTAGGAATCTAGTGAATTGAATGAAAAGATAAAAGAGAGGAAGATGAATGGTGAAAAGATATGAGACTTTGTTTCTTCCTGTGAATTGATTTTGCAATATCACTTGGTTGTCTAGGTTATGCACATTTACATTGTTTATGATTTATATTCAACAACTAATCTTCAGTACTTTATTTTTCTTTTGAAGCGTTGAAAATATCGGTAGTCCTTGTAAATCTTTACCATGTAATTTGTTATGCTTGAAGCTCTAAAGTCTGATGAAAAATTGGGAACATTGAAATATTTTTGGAATTTCCTCGTATTGAAAATAAAGAGACATTTAGCCCTTGTTTGGGCTCCATTTTATCGAAAATACATTTTTCCCTCTCCTCTTTTTAACCACTCATTCTCTGATAAAATAATATTACATGTAAATCCAAAATTTTTCCTTAGTGTTTAACTAGATATTCTTAAAAAAATATATATAAATAAAAATAAAATAAAATAATCTGTATTCCAAAATACATTTTCCTCAAAAGCACATTAAAATGGAGCCCAAAACGAGGGCTTAGATTCTAGAATTTATATCATTTGGCGTTTGCTGTTTTGCATGTGTAATTTTTTATGCTACAGTCAGTTTCGCTTCTCGTGCTTTACCCTATAAGAGTATTTTTCAATATGCTTAGCTTCCTTTTATTATTACTTTTTTCTCCGATGGATGTAGCATTAGGACATAATTTCCTTGTCTAATTATGCTACTTCAAGTAAACTCCTCATTCAGGCTGAAGGGTTTCTCTTAGCCTGTTTCATTATTTAACTTGGTCTTGCTGATGCTACCATTTGGTACTCTGGCTTTATGTTTCATTCTTTTCCTTCTTTTTTTATCCTATTGTTAGTTTTGTTTGTCTCATTAGTCTGCATAGATTACAAAATTCTTGAATTGGATTCAATACAGCAAAATAGCTTGTTCTTATATTATTCTTTGACATTATTTTTTCTGCAACTTGAAACTTGATGAAAGCATGCAATATTTGTATAACAAGTATAATTCATGATAAATGCCATGTTCATATCTTCATTTCCATTTGTCAGTGTAATAATTTGTATATTGTGTCAGACGCAAAAAGAAACTCCTGGACTTGCAAAAGGTGCTGCTAATGCTGTGTTTGATTTATATGATGTTGTCACACATGAGCTGCTGTCACCTGATTTGAGGTAAATTGAATAGACAATTTTTGCTCATACGAGCTAGATAGTAGTGTGACATAATTAATTTGTATTCCCAGGGAGCAGCTTGATACATGGAATATATTGGCGAGAGCAAGAAATGAGGGGCGCCTCTTTTCTAGGATAGAGTGGCCGAAGGATCCTGAAATTGTAAGCTTACTAGATGTTAATTTTATTTCAAACTTGATATGGTTGCTACTGCTGTCTAATCCTTTTACTGGAAACAGAAGGAGCAAGTGAAGAGGTTGCATCTACTTCTTACTGTAAAGGATTCTGCAGCTAATATACCAAAGAATCTAGAAGCAAGAAGAAGGTTGGAGTTTTTCACAAACTCATTGTTTATGGACATGCCACCAGCAAAGCCAGTCTGCGAAATGATACCATTCTGGTATATTATTACTTGTTGTCGTGATTGATCTCATGTTTTCACTATAATTCTCTAAAAGTTTGTTATCCATTCTCTGTATTTGTTTTGGATAGTGTCTTCACTCCATACTATAGCGAGACAGTGCTTTACAGTAACTCTGAGTTGCGGGTTGAAAATGAGGATGGAATATCAACTCTTTTCTATCTCCAAAAAATATTTCCGGGTATCCCTCATCTTTGATTGATTGTTGTATCTCATCGTTTGCTTATTTTCGGTGGTTTGTATTTTACATTTTTCTGCATATCATTGAGGCATTGCTAAGTATGCCTATCAAATTGATTGTTCCTTTGAATATATGTTTATCAGTGTACATACATCCAGGAATTTTTTATCTCAATACTTGGAAGTGTTTGCATAGATGGTTTTTATTCTTTTGCTTGGCAGTATTTTTCTTTTTTACCTGCTAGACCTTGTTAGGCAAATGCTTTTCAGGCATTTGCTATTAGTGAAACAAGTTTTGTCTAAATGATTATTTTCTGTTTACACTTACCCACATGCAGAAAGGTGTTGTGGGTACTTTTACCGCTCTTGTGGTATCTGTTTCTGTTGAAGTGACTGGGCAAACACTTCAAACCCTTCGAGAGATTTCAGTTACGTTTTTGTCAGATCTCAGAAACGTTGCTGTTAGACTAGTTAGTTCGCCAATTGTAATTTCAAAAATTTATTCATTCTAACAGTGACTATTCCTGTGGAGATGGAAAATGTGTGCAGCTGCTCTGCTAGTCAATCACATTCAGCCTGCCTGTTATTTTACTTTATTCCCTGGTCCAATTACCACTTAAGTGTTATTTTCAGTGTGAGTTTTTGCTCTTCACTTGTGCTTGGAAAAATGTGAATGCTGGTTGGATCTATGTTTCTTGCTGAGAAAGCCATTACTTCAGATGCATTATGAGGTCCAGAGGGGCATAATGTCTGACAGGGTTTTTGCCTGCGAGCTTAAAACTAACCTCTTCAAAAGGATAAAAGAAACTAACTAAAATTTTAAGTTTATATCTTTATCATTTCAAGCGTCAATGTTGAATGGCATGAATTTAGCCCAAATGGTAGACATTGCATATTCTTCTTGTTTGTTATAGTTTATAACTAATCTAGTTTGTTGAGTATGTGCGGTAAACTTACACATTCTTTTTGCTGTTGATTTTATAAAAATGTGCTTATATAAAGTTGAAAACTTTATGCTGGCCCGGGATGTAGTTTTTTTTTTGCCTGTGTCATCATTTGCATTTTTTTTTTCCTATTTCAGATGAATGGGAGAATTTTTTGGAACGAATTGACCAAAAGGATAGTGGGGAGGATGAACTTCAAGAAAGTTCTACTGGTGCTTTGGAGCTGCGATTTTGGGTATCTTACAGAGGACAAACTTTAGCTAGGACAGGTTTAATTTGTCTCTATTCTTATTATGCTTTTATTGTTGACTGGATAAAGTTTTAGCTTTGATAACATTTGTTTACAACAAACCATTGGGGATCTGCCATGTCCTCTTTGTATTGCTTTTGATAGTGTGTTTTGGGTTTTATGTAGTTCGTGGCATGATGTATTATAGAAGGGCTCTAATGCTGCAGAGTTACTTGGAAAGGAGATTGCTAGGAGGTAATGCTTTTTTCCTATGTTAGACCATTGAGATTTTTAGAAAACCGCAAAAATGCTTATATATTTATACCTTTTGCTTGCAGAGAGTGTCTATCCTGAGACAAGTTTTCCCACAACTCAAGGTTTCGAGCTGTCACATGAAGCACGTGCTCAAGCAGATATAAAGTTCACTTATGTAGTTTCCTGCCAAATTTATGGGCAACAAAAGCAGCGGAAAGCTCCTGAGGCGGCTGATATTGCGCTGCTGCTACAAAGGTGTGTTGCTGACACTGATTGCTAATTAATATCCAGTATATGGTACTGATGGGTTCATTGTTTTTCCCCAGATTTTTGTTTTTGTCATTTCTGTCACTTTAACACAATAACATCTCCTTCCTTTATTCTTGATGAAGTCCGAAAATACCACACTAAGGGGCCAATTTTTCTTTATTTTATTTTATTCTTATTTAATCTTTTATTTCCTGCACTTTAATTATCTTGGGACAAATCTCTCTTCTGCAAGGTTAGGTTTCTCTTTCTAGCTTTTACTATTTAAAATCTCAATATAGCTTTGCCGATTTCTTGGTTGATTACTGAATAAAATTGAGATCTTTCTCAATACTTCATGGTATTTTCTTAGAGAATCATTATATCTTTGGTTCCCATCCTTGGGTATTCACAGAATCAAGGGGTTTTTGGTGTGCATTTCTTGCTTTCTCTGCAGCAAATCTTTCCCTCTCTGCTTCTTCTCAAAACCCACTAACAAGTGATAAGTGATGATGTTGATGGTCTTGGGCGAATTTTTATGCAGGCTGGTGTCTCATAAGTACCTTTCTTTTCAGAAATCCAATAGGCAACTATATTTCATACTTGGAAATTAATCCTTAGATTGAGATGATTGAAGGTAAGAATCTGATATTATTTTCGTACAGGAAGAGGCGAAGGATGGGAAACATCCATGTATCATAGGGTTATTGATTACTGCTCTTGCATCAACCTCTCTGGGTTCTTCTCCCTAGTTGTTTTGAGAACTCTGAAAGAGATTATTCTCTCTGGGATTCTGATTATTCTTCCAAAAAGAAATCGGGAAAAAAAGGAAGAATGACGGACAAAATAGAAAATGGGAATTTGATTCTAAATACTGGAAAGATTTGCTCATGTCGTTCAACTATATAATTGACTGCCTATGAAGTGTCAACACTTCACAGACATTCTAAGACATGTTTTACCCGTACTATATGCATTTTTCTCTCTGACATTAGTAATATATAGCCCATGTTTGAGCCACATTTTTTGAGATTAGATTTTGTAAAAAGTGATCTTATTGGAGAATGTGTAGTTAAAACGTATGTGAACGTTTTGGGTTTACATGCAAAATTCTTTTGTTTGGAGAATGTGTGGTTGAAAATGAGTTTGGACAAAACTGAGTTTTAAAAATTGGAGCTCAAACAGGGCATAGTATTATTCAATGGTAATTTTAATCTAACAAAGAGCTACTCATCTTAATAAAATTCAAAACTACACCAAGTATTGATTTCATTAAAAAATAAAAAGTATAAAATTAAAGATATAATATGTAAAGGTACAATTTCAAATAATTGCAGTCGACTTGTCTATGTCCTACTCTTTTGAAAATCACTTGTTTGTTCATATGGTTGGGTTGCGTGACCGTGCTGCGTAGTTGACCATTACCCGTAGTGGAGCTCACATTCTGCTTTTTCTTCGTTTATTATCAGGAACGAGGCACTTCGGGTTGCTTTTATACATGTGGAAGAGAGTGGTGCAGCTGATGGAAAGGTGACTAAGGAGTTTTACTCGAAGCTTGTCAAAGCGGATGCACATGGGAAGGACCAGGTAGAGGATTTGGTGATTGATGCTCCACTTTTGTTTATTCATTTGGTGCAGTTGAAAATTTCTTTGGATTTTCTGTTCAGGATTGTTACCTGTGTTAAATATGAATTTGAAATTTTTTAATGATAATGTATGTGAAAGAAGCCTTACAACTCATAATTTGAGATAATATATCTTGTAGTTGATGCTTCCCGTTTTTGTCTTCTGTACAATCTGCTAATCCAATTTGCAAGCTGAATTCCACCCCACCCCCCACCCCCTAAATTGAACTTATATAGCTTAAATCTTACAGCTAGAAAGAATTTATGAATTTACTCCTATATCTTTTTTGGATTTCTTTTTCTGATTGCCTTTTGTCACATCTGAGCTCTAAATCTCAGAACCAAGAAAAAATTGATTTGCATTCTAGGTTGGAAATAGTGGATTATCGCCTCATTTACAAGTTACAGGACGGTTTACCTCTGTATTTCCATATGTATTTGTATCATTGGTATATTCAGGACTAGTTGTGCTGATACACACTAAGATGCAATTAAGCCAAGCCAAGCCAAGCTGCTTATCATCCAGGCTCAAGGTGAAAGTAGAACTCAATCGGCCTCTTATCTAGATTGGACGGCTATACTAATATTATGCTAATTACCAACTTTATGTTGGGTTCTGTAGCTGATTTATAACTTCAACAAACACACTAGCAGAAAAAATGTCAATCAAGCTTTCCTCGTTTCCATTTTAGCAAATGCTTGAAAATAATTACTTGATTGAATTTGATTATTCTCTCTTTATTTCCTTTGCTTCCTGTGGTACATTAATGCATTTGCTGAGGGAAGTTTTTATCCTTTAAGAAACAGTTAGCAAGTGTCAACTTTTGTGATTCTAGCTTTGTTATGTTTGTTCTGAACTTAATAGGTACCTTTTCTGTGCAGGAAATATATTCGATAAAACTTCCTGGAGACCCTAAACTTGGAGAAGGGAAACCTGAGAACCAAAACCATGCAATAGTTTTCACTCGTGGAGAAGCTGTTCAAACAATTGATATGAACCAGGTGAAAAACATTCTGTTATATTTGAACCTGTGTATGCGTTCTCTTTTTTAATCATTAGATGTTTTTGCTATGTAGCACTGATGATTGGAATTTAGAACTTGAAATAGTCAATTAGTATTATTTTAATTATTATTATTATTATTTTGTTTTTTGTGTACACTTCTTTGTTAACGTTTCGATACGCTCCCATAGCTCAGCTAATCTTTCCTGGATTAAGTGATGGTTGTTGTCTTAAAGAATGATGCTTCAAAGCTCAGCTAATCTTTCGGTTCAGTTGCTACATTCTTCGCAAATTTAAGCATATATAAAACTCTTTTGTTTCGTGTTCAATACCTGTTTTTATTTTGCATTTCAAGAACAAACTCCCAGTGGCATGATAAATTTAAAATTCTGTATTTAGGCACTTTCTTATCATGTGAACTTCAGATCTTAACATTCATGTAACATTCTATATAGTTTTTGTGGAATGGAGCTTGCTAATCTCTCATTGGTTGGACAAATTTGAAAGTTATCTAAGATCAATTATTACATTTTAAAAACAACAGATTCTGCTGTTTGTTTGAAATATATTCCTTGTATGGTTTTTGAATCTGCAATATGTGCTTTCACCTAGTTCAGGTTAAGATCAATCGATGTTCTTTATTCTATTTTTGCATGTTTTTTGGATTTCTAGAAGAGGATCCCTGCCTTCACGTCAGTATTGGGATAGAGTTCAGTTCTAGCTCATCATTGTGGAAATAAAACTATAACGGAATTGTTGGGAGCAATGAGTTTGGCTAGATATATATAACCAGAATGTAGAGCTTCCTTGCACGTTTGGACAGTGCTAAGCATACAGATTTTTGATCTAACTAGAAGTAGCTTTTGGTTTCTAGGAAGAAGAATGTTGTTCGCTGAAAATTATGTTGTTGCCTCGAATAATATACCAAAATAGACTTGATGCATTTACGATGTCCATTTGAACCTTGCAAGTAAATAAAATGATTGGAAATTTGACTGCCTCTAGTAAATATCATAATTTCGACGCTAGTCTTCTGGAATAGCAAATTTTATGGGACATCAAGTAATCATCAAGTCTGCTGCATGCTTTTGTTTATTCTTCTGTTCTTTGAAATATCATGCCATTGTGTTGTTGCTGCCTGAGTTTATAAATCCTTTCTTGTAGTCTGTTATCTATATGTTTGTGCCATCCAGGATAACTACCTTGAGGAGGCAATGAAAATGAGAAATCTCCTTGAAGAATTTCGAGGAAAACATGGTCTCAGGCCTCCCACTATTCTTGGAGTAAGGGAGCATGTATTTACAGGAAGGTTGAATGACTTCTCTACTCTTCTCGAAAAGTGTAACTTTTATTTCTATCATGATCTCCTGTTAATAAGTTGGTGTCAAAATCGCTGCAGTGTTTCCTCCTTGGCTTGGTTCATGTCTAACCAAGAGACTAGTTTTGTGACCTTGGGTCAACGGGTTTTGGCAAAGCCTCTCAAGTAAGTAGTCTGATTTGGAAGAGAATATTGTGAAAAAAATTGTTTTATATTTGCTTCCCTATATATACCAATTCACCTGTTTTATCCTGGAAATGTTTATATTTCTGATGCAGTTTTGTTTATTCATTGGGTGATCACTCGTCTCTTCCAATATTCGATGGAAAAACTTGAGTTCTTTTGTGGGAAGTGTCTGATTGTATTAATTAATATCTTGCAGAGTCCGTATGCATTATGGACATCCGGATGTCTTTGACCGAATTTTCCACATCACTCGAGGTGGAATCAGTAAAGCATCACGTGTTATCAATATTAGTGAAGACATTTATGCAGGTATTTTTCATAGGAGTGTTTAATTTATTGATGATTCCTTCTTAAACTGCAGTGTTTTCGTATTGGGAAAATTAATAGCAGCTTGTTGCTCATATTGCTGGAGTGACTTTGCAGAATTGAATTTTTTTCAAATTATGTTGAGAAATTGGGTGTTAATATTGAAACATGGATTTCTTTCTGAATAGCATGTTTGATTTATCAACAATGATGGCTTCTTTTTTGTGGTTCTTGGTCACGCCCCATGCTGAATCCTAAGTGGATACAGTTTGAGGTGGATGAGTTCGATAGTAAATAATTCACAACATAATAATGAAAAAGGATGTATGCTGAAGTAAAATCCGGAAGCTAAATAAATCACAATTGGTACCTTAAGTATCGGGCAAAATTTAGTATTTCAAATGGTATTCCTTTTACTAGATTTGAACAAAAGATATTTCCTAAACAAAATCTCAACACAGCTACTAGAAATCCCAGAATGTACTATCTTTGTTTCTATTCTTTTTACATAGCAGTTTTTGTCTAATTCTGTTGAAGGAATTTCTTTTTTCGATTAAAACTGGACTGTCGTATAGATTACAGCATACTTGAGTGCTAAAATTCTAAGAAGTCACCTTTTAGACTTAGTTGTGCATTTCTCTTGCCTTGTTGTCTGCTTATTCAATTTGGGATAGGAACTAAATGTGTGATCTAAAACTCAGTATGGATTGTGTATGCCAGTGAAGTTTCTCAAATATGACGAGTTTGAGTAGGTGTGATATTTATAACATAACACTGTCATGGAATAAAAGAATAAAACACTCATGCAATTACTTAGCCCTTGTTTGAGCCGTATTCCGTGGAAAAAAAAATGCATTCTTAAACAGTGTTTTGACATTATCTCAACCACACATTCTTCAATAAAATAATATTATACGCAAATCTAAAACTTTTCTCTTTATTTTTTAAACACACATTCCCATTAATACACTAGTCAAAAATGCATTTTCCCCCCAAAATGGGGTTCAAACAAGTGCTTAAATTAAAATCAAAGAATAATTAATGAAAACCTCTGCATTCGTCTTCCCATCATATTAGCTTAGAAGAATTTTGAAGGCGTTTCCAGAATATCATGAAGTAGACTTAAATGGTGCGCCCTAACACAATTAGAGCATTTTGCAATGTGAGATTTAGGAAATTGTTTCCCAAGGTGATATATAGTACTTGAAGTGATCAGAATATGTTGCAGAACTATTTATTTGAATTACAGTGGGGGGAATAAATAACATTTACTGGAACTAATTAACATAATAACACTCAGTTTTCTTTTATAAAATAAGCAGAATCACTAGCTTTTACAGGAAAGTGAAGTCAATACAGATACTGTAACTAATTTTTATGCACATGTTTACTCTAACTATTACCTACCTCACTCTGATATCTTTCCTTATGATTTTTCATTACAAGAAATAATGTGCGCATATGTCATTCTATCGATACTATAACATGTTTGCACCTTTTTTCTGTTCTTACTGATACAAATCTATCCAACTCTACCAAAACAATCATTTGTTTTTGTCATTTAAACAGCTGCATTTGGCATCTGTTGTGTAGTGGTTAATTTACCTGTCTGCAATATTAGTCATTTTTATGCTCTCTTTCGACTATTTCTTAACTCTGTTATCCAGCATATTTATTAGTTTTGTGCATTGTTTTGTCTGAATATGCAGGGTTCAATTCTACGCTGAGGCAGGGTAATATCACTCACCACGAATATATTCAGGTTTGCTCAATTTAAACTTAAATATATTAGACAAAGGATATGCCTTAGAATGCTTATAGCCTGCTCTTTCCATTAGGTTGGAAAGGGAAGAGATGTTGGGTTGAACCAAATTGCATTGTTTGAAGGCAAAGTGGCTGGAGGAAATGGAGAGCAAGTTTTGAGCAGGGATGTGTACAGGATTGGACAACTTTTTGATTTCTTCAGAATGCTATCTTTCTTTTTTACGACTGTTGGTTACTATGTTTGTACAATGGTATAAATATTCCTTTTCCATTTGTTGTTTATTGAACAAGTTCGTTATTGTTGTCTGTATTTCGTAAAATTGTCTGTTAATCTCCTTTTTCTATCGCAGATGACGGTTCTTACGGTATATATTTTCTTGTATGGACGAGCATATCTGGTAAGTTTTAATTTTAATTTCCTTCTATTTCCCCAGAGCCATACAAGCTGCTGGAGTTGTTTTTGTGATGTAGACAATTAGAAAGCCATCATTTGCATAGCATATTCTTGAGGAAAAAATACTCTTGGCGGTTATTTGGTATATGGTTTGGCCCAACTTTTACTGCTAATGGGGACACAACACTGAATTGGGATTGTTCAAGGCTAAATGTTTTGAAGGACCCCCATCCCCTTCTTTCCTTTGTAATGGGCGCCACAAGTGGAAATCCTAATCACAATAATTTATGTTCAAATTTTAGTTAGAATATGGATCTTAAGCACAAGTAGTATAGTTAGATTTTTTCTTTTATGAAATTATGACCTTTCCTTTGCATGAAAGAAATTGTCTGATATAATAATTACAAAAGAAAACTCACAGGAGCACGTCCAGGAAATGGGTAAAGGGTTATTATTCTCCCTGTTTGAGCTGTCATCTTTTCTCCCTTCTCATTGCTATATGAAGTTTTTAGTATGTAAGAAAAAAAGTCCGTAAACATTTAATCTTCCGGTCGACTTTTATTTTAAATTTATGTTTAAAAAATAGAACCTTGTTTATTAACTGTTCTGTTGTAAGTTTCTTCTCAGTATGTGAGGATGTGGTATTGGCGTACTTCTTTTATCATCTGTTGGCCTATTATGAAATTCATTGGTACATCATTTATCAATCTATCAACCATTTCCTTTTACTTTCTTCAGGCATTTTCTGGACTTGATCAAGGAATTTCTCGGGAAGCTAGACTGTTGGGTAACACTGCATTAGACGCAGTTCTTAATGCGCAATTTTTGGTCCAGATTGGAGTTTTCACTGCAGTTCCCATGGTTATGGGCTTCATACTTGAACAGGGCTTGCTGAAGGTTTGTTCGTTTAATTTTCTTTCTTCAGAAGCTATTGCCCTTATTATGTCGACCATTTCTTACTGGATAAGTAAGACTGTCCTGTCACTTCATATTTTATTCTATTTGTTGTGTGATCAGAAATGCTTTAGGTTGCCAGATATTTACATCAAATATGTAAATTGCTAGTATGTTAGCTGTTCCGTGCATTAAAGTTATAATGTTTCTTTGAGTTATGCTCATGTTCCACAATCTTACAAATTTGCAGGCTGTTTTCAGTTTCATCACGATGCAATTCCAGCTTTGCTCTGTATTCTTTACATTCTCATTAGGGACTAGAACTCATTATTTTGGGCGTACTATCCTTCATGGAGGTGCAAAGGTATCTTCTACTTGACTGTTCGGCTCTATTGGGTATTGATATATTGCACGGCATAATTGGTCATATCTGATGTTGATCATATTTCTCCAGTATCGAGCAACTGGAAGAGGTTTTGTTGTCCGTCACATCAAGTTTGCTGATAATTATAGGCTCTATTCGAGGAGCCATTTTGTCAAGGCGTGAGTTATTTTTGTTCAGTCAATTAAATGCTCGTGCTTGAAAAATGCATGTTGTAGTGTTGTATATATTCATTGGCTATCATTATTTGCCCTACAGAATGGAAGTTGCATTGCTTCTTATCGTTTACATTGCATATGGGTACACAAGAGGAGGTGCTGTCTCCTTTGTTCTGTTAACTCTGAGTAGTTGGTTTATGGTCATCTCTTGGCTCTTTGCACCTTATATCTTCAATCCCTCTGGATTCGAATGGCAAAAGTAAGTTGAAGCTTTACCAGAAAATGTTGTTCGATTTAGTTTGTCCCCTTGTTTACTAGTTTTCTGCATAATGCAATTCATGCTCATTCTCAGTGAATGTAGTCCTGCTACATGCTTATCTTTTCATGCTGTTGTTACAACTTTAGCTTGCAATGTGCAGGACGGTGGAGGATTTTGATGATTGGACCAATTGGCTAATGTACAAAGGTGGAGTTGGTATTAAAGGGGAGAACAGTTGGGAGTCTTGGTGGGATGAAGAACAGGTTTGCTTCTAGGATTGTGGGAGTAATATCATAACTGATAGTGATATATCGTCTAATTTACATATTAGCGTAACACTTCCCACCATTCCTCTAAAGAGCAATAAGCTTTGGAATGATGTGGAAGCTAATAGGATGCACAATGAATAGGCTTGAATCACCGTCTTAGCATTTCATTAGGTCCTTATTTCTTTTGAAAAGCTACGAATCTTAATACATGCAAACCATGATAGGGGTGGTTTTTTGTTTTTTTTCCCTTTATTGATTGCTTTCCGATTTATAGCCAATTTGTTTAGTTTCTTAGCAGCCTCTCTCCTGTCTCTCATTGTTGTTTCTCTCTTCTACAGATGCATATCCAAACGCTGAGAGGGCGGATACTTGAAACGATTTTGAGCTTGAGATTTTTGATATTTCAGTATGGCATTGTATACAAACTCCATCTTACTGGAAAGAACACATCACTTGCGGTATACTATCCATTTTCCTGTTTTTATGGCTGAATGTTCTTTTTCTCATTCTTTATTTTAATTTGGTGTTTCATTTATATTGTTTTGACTGAATCTTGATGCTATGAATATAAATGTTGCTAAATCTTGTTGACAACTGATGCGGCAGGCCCAACCTGTCCCGTTCTATATATCAGGCACAGGTGTTAAATTTTCTTAATAGAAACGTTTATCCTTTATGCCCCCACCTTTCTCTGGGGTGATGATAATGATGAACTTGTCTATATTTAAAGAAAATTGTCATAGCTTAAGTGCTATTTCAATGTGATATTTGAGTGGCTGAAAATCTTCGCAGGGAAATGAGGGTCATAAAATTTAGGAACAGAATTTTTGAGTTGTTCCTTTTTGGATGAGTATGATACAAGAACAAATATCAAGATTCGTTTGTGATTTGAAAGATATTTTCTTTTCCCTTTTCCTTGGGTTTGTTCCTCAATGGTCACCAGTTCGAGTCCCCTCAGGGGCACTGAGGTGAGTACCCGATTGTATACTTTAGGACTTCGTGGGATTAGTCGAGGTGCGCGTAAGTTGGCCCAAATAGTCCTTTTATTATCAGAAAAAAATGGAGATGAATGTTTTCACATGATCTATGGTTGCAGTCCCATCAGTTTTTCTTCTTTCCAATTTCTGGTATACAAACTTATCCGAGGTTTTTAATTTGGAATGATCATCTGTATCTAAACGAAGCACTATTTAATGCCATTTTACAAGATTCATTTATCACTACCTTATTAAATTGTAATGGGGACACTGCTCCACGTGCAAGAGTTGGTGCCTGCTATTTGTTCCAAGTGTTTAATGAGAATTAATCAAACGATACATATGCAGGAATCAAAATTATGATGGTTTTGTTAAATTATTTATTTTGATTGCGTAAATGTTCCTCAAGTTCTATACTCTTTGTTTCCAGTTAGTTCCCAGTCTCTTCCATTTCTCTCAAAGCCATTTTCGTGTTAATTCTAATTGTGCCAGTACTGAGTATTTGTTGGAATGAACTATACAAGAGATTTATTTGATATGAGGTTGGTTTATTTTTCCTGGACTCAAATTATATGTGCTTTAATTTATCTGTCTTACTTTTTTTGCTAGATCTATGGCTTCTCCTGGGTTGCTCTGGCGGGAATAGTCATGATCTTTAAGGTTTGTATCTTCTCTTTGTTTTATAGATTGGTTAAACTTTGCATAACTTAGTGCTGTCTCTATAATATAGTTGCTTCATTTATTTTATTTTATTTTATTTTTCAGATCTTTACCTTTAGCCCCAAGAAGTCCACTAATTTTCAGTTGATGCTCCGGTTTATGCAAGGCGTTACTGGCTTGGGGCTTATTGTAGCCCTTTGCCTTGTCGTCATTTTCACTGACTTATCTGTTCCAGACTTGTTTGCGGGCATTCTTGCGTTTATTCCCACTGGATGGTGCATTATCTGTGTAAGTTATCATATCCTTGAAGTGTTGAATCTGTTTAAGGAATTAAAAGCATGTTTGGCAAAGCTTATATTAGATTATAAGCTGTGGTTCCTAAATCTGTGGATAAAAAGTGGGTAAAAGTACGTAAATATTGTGGGTCCTATGGAATATACGCAGATAAAAATATACTTTGACCAGCTAAAAAGCAACTTTGTCAAACCACATTTTCTTTTCCTCGTGATTGTTTTCGCGATAATCCTAACTTTGCCCATGACTTGCACAGTTGGCTATCACGTGGAAGAAGTTGGTGAGGAGCTTAGGGATTTGGGATTCCGTAAAGGAGTTTGCTCGAATGTATGATGCTGGAATGGGTATAATTATATTTGCCCCTATAGCAATATTGTCTTGGTTTCCATTCGTCTCCACCTTTCAATCGCGCCTACTCTTTAATCAAGCATTCAGTCGGGGTTTGGAGATTTCTCTTATCCTTGCTGGTAACAAAGCTAATGTTCAGGCCTCCTCGTTTTAGTTCTGGAGAAGCCAGCTGGTTCGTAGTGTTTGTTAAGTTGAGACGTGAATTCTTCACCTTTGTATTATAGTACTCTGTAATTTATGTTTTCCATATTCTGTAGTTGAGGAAAATGTGGCAAATTGAATGAATATTTTGAACATTACTGTATATTAATCCTGGGTAACAGACGAGTGGTTGTGTATGGAAAGAGGCATTCATTGTATCTTCTGTTGTCATTATACTTGAACCGGGCGAGGTGATCTATGTGGGCCGTCTTGTAAAATATAATGAAGTTAAAAAAAGAAAAAGAAATGCACAGTTCGTATGCAATGTTAGACAGGACTAGAAGGTACAATTGACAATTCAATGTAATATGAGGCACATTGATTGTCTCTTTGGGGTGGGGGTTCGGTATTTTGTTTCCTGCTTTTAAATTCCATGATTAGGTGCATGCATGAAGCTTAAATTATAATTTCAGATGGTCAAATATGAATGTTTGGGAATTGTTTATAATCAGTTTAAATTATAATAAATAGCACATGTGGGCCGTCTTGTAAAATATAATGAAGTTAAAAAAAGAAAAAGAAATGCACAGTTCGTATGCAATGTTAGACAGGACTAGAAGGTACAATTGACAATTCAATGTAATATGAGGCACATTGATTGTTTCTCTTTGGGGTGGGGGTTCGGTATTTTGTTTCCTGCTTTTAAATTCCATGATTAGATGCATGTATGAAGCTTAAATTATAATTTCAGATGGTCAAATATGAATGTTTGGGAATTGTTTATAATCAGTTTAAATTATAATAAATAGCAGTGAGAGGTGTAATAGTGATTATTATTTGTAGGAGCCATAAAATGTGGAAAAATAAAATAAAATGATTTGATCAATCATGAATAAGAGGCAACGAGGATGTCTCTTTTTATCCGACGCACAAATGTTATCTGTTATTTATTTACGTAGGACATCATCTATTAGAACTTAAAAGTACTACAATGATAGGCAACTATCAATGAGGATTGAATGATACTGTATGGTTACATCGTCCATTCTTATCCAGTACAATTACCAAACATTCACGAAGAGACGACACACAACCAAATACTTGTTTTATAACCACCATAAAGAGAAATTGAGAGTGGTATTTTGAATGGTGAATTTTTTTTTTTTTTGGCCATTAGAACTTAAAAGTACTACAATGATAGGCAACTATCAATGAGGATTGAATGATACTGTATGGTTACATCGTCCATTCTTATCCAGTACAATTACCAAACATTCACGAAGAGACGACACAACCAAATACTTGTTTTATAACCACCATAAAGAGAAATTGAGAGTGGTATTTTGAATGGTGAATTTTTTTTTTTTTTTGGAGAATGTACTGTTCTAAAGTTAAAATATATATATATATATATAATAATAATAATAATAAATAAAGATTTATGTGGAGAATATTTTATTGTGTAAATGTATGCTTGAAAATGAGTATGAGAATTAAAGAGTTTTACTTTAAAGATAGTCAAATGGGGGCTAAACACAGAAATCAGCCACAGAAACAGAGTATATCTTGTAATCCTACGAAGTGTGAAACATATGAATAACTTACATATTCTGTCCTCTGCTTGAGCTGAAGCAGAAACTTTGATCTTCAGTTAGTTTAATTCCTGGAGATTTTAATCTATAAAGGAAATGTAACGCTAATCTTAAGACTACGAAATTGAAGAACCACTTCCACTTCCTTTCATTGTGATGATTCCTGCCCCATCAGGAGTTTTGAGAGTTGAATGGAGGCCGATCATAAGGTGGTGGCTGTGAGATAGCAAATTTAGCTGGATGATCGAATTTGCAACCAGGTCCATACTTGCAAATTCCAAACCGAGAGTAGTGTGAACAGATGAGCTGATCCTTCATTATGCAAAACGGGGTTAAGAGTGTGCTTTTATGCACAATTAGCTCAATTGATCTTTGAAATAAGTCTAAGAACGCCATATATTAAAGGGCCATACATCACATACACAAACATTGTAATGACATAGTATGTGAATTTGTAGAATGACGTAGTATATGAATTTGTAGACAAATAAACTTACAGGTCTGAGAGGAAGGCCTTTGTCATTTAGAGTACACGGATTTGCCATTGGCTTTGAGTAGCGTTTCTTTGGATGGTGAAATTTGCAATTTGATTTGTATTTGCAATCTCCAGTTTTTAAGAAGAAACTGCATTCTGGTTCGCCAGGGCGCTCTGGATATTCTTCGATTACCATCTCCTGTTGATGGTGAAATGGGAAGTTCATGTTGGTCGGTAAGCTCATGGAAAATGCCGGAGGTGTAGGTAAGCTCCTCTCTGATGATGGGTAGTTTGCAGCCTCAATTAACCCAAAAATAAAAGGAACAGATGAGAGCAGAAGAAGCGTGTATCTGACAAGTAACACACTCGGAGGCGAAATTAACCGAACTGACAATTTTTTTATTAGCCGGTAAACTTTGTGTATAGCATGGCATCAGGAGATTAGTTGTAAATGATAGAAGAAAGCATCACTTACAAGTGAGCGTGTATCACATTTAACAATCAAATCTCCAAGGTCAAATATTGTTTCATAATGTCAACTGAATATGTTATCTAGCTGCAGGTCAAATAAGCATTGGGACATATAGAATTGGACTTTGATGAATGAATCTTTTTTCTCTAATCTGTTTGGTTCGTTACTACTTAAAATGGAAGATCCGATGCAACTAGATCTTTCGAAACCACAATATGTCGTGTTTATTTTGGTCTACCTCTGTATCCTCAGGCATGTTCTCCTGAGATCCTATAACAATCAGAAGAAATATTTTTTTGACTAATCTCTGAAAATGTTGCCTATGGAATGATGGAAACTCCCTAATTTGTACAAAGATTTAAGAGTACAATATCTACAACTACGATCCAAAATGTAATCTGAAATAATGAAAAATTACCTCATATCCATTCCATTCTGGATTTGGAGAAGGTATGACTTGAGTTGCAGGAAGCATTAACGGTGCAACAGAAGCAGTCTCGTTTAATGCCTTTGGCGGAGACCAAGAAGAGGTGGATGACGAGAAAAAACCTTGTGGTGGAAGAGATCCACCATTGCTATATCCAGGAGGAGGGTTACCTCCAGGCTCTGCAGTAGGTTCGGGATGATGAAACCTGCAGTTTGAACCATACTTGCAGGACCCATTGCGCATGTAGTAGGTACACTCTTTTTCCCCCTGTGATGAAAAAACCTTTGTGTACTTTGAACAGACTAAAAGATTTTTGACTCACTAATGAGAACGTTATAATTTTGACAACTATTAAAGCGAGTGGTCGAATAAGGTAAAAAGAATTCATGTAGCTTATCCCAAATTTATTGGGAATAAGCTTTAGTTTGCTGCTATAGCAGTACTGCTGCCATTGAGAATAAATAAAACCTGCATTTCAATTTATTCCAAAAATTGTTTCTACTGCTCTTATTGCTTGTGAATCTGTTTTCTTAAAGATAAATACATTTTTGAGTATCTATATTTGTTCAAACTACGAGATCTAAATTAGGATTTAGGGTTTAATATAATGGAGCAGCTTACAGGGTTTCTTATAAGCCCACAAAATATGGGACACACACTATTTGTGGCTCATAAGATGCCATAAGTTGGGGTTTCCCTATTGACGCCAACACTTTGTATGGCTTATAAGAAAATTCCATGAGTTGCTTCCAAACATACTCATAGCCAAACTAAGCTGGATTCTTGTTTCTTGTCTATAGAAAACAGTTACATCCAAATGTTTATTTTTTGGTCGAAACTCAATGTCTAGTTTAACTTGATTGGGGAACTATTAATGGATTTGAATCCACAACAAACCTACATTGAAGGAAATTTTAAACAGGAAATCAGGAATGCATAAGAGAAACTATGAACTGTAGAAAGAGAATATACCGTTCGAATTGGCAGGCCTAAAAAGTTGAGCTTCAGAATAGGGGTTATTGGGCTTCTGCCTGTGCCATGATAGTATTTACAAGCCTTTCCGTACTTGCATCCCCCTGATGTCAAGTAATACTGCATAGAGTGCAAGTAGTGTTTTATCTAGTACAGAAGTTAAGTTTAATAGCATATTGCATGAAGGCATCATTTAAAATGATAACATAAGTGAATATCAAGAGCTTCACCTTATGAAAGGGTAACAAGCTTCAAGGAAAACACACTAAGAATTTACAAATAGTTTAATTTATAAATATATAGAAATGAGTGGTGGATAAGTGGATAATATCTGTGGATCCACATGAATGTGTTATTGAAAAAGTTCGACCATTCATAAATAACTTATAAGTTTTTCCGAACAGAGGCTTAGTCACGTAGGATTAGTCTTAAAATTATTTAATTAACAGTTTCCTATTTGAAATCCTAGTTTAATGTAGAAGCCTTTTAGATCTATAATACTCACTTAAGAGTGATTTTGCTCAACCCTTATATGGGTGATCCCTTCTCACTTCTCCCACTTCGTCTTTACTACTACTCTTCTTATTTGTTTCTATATAAGATGTTCTTCTACTATATTTAGACATAATCTAACTCAATTTTCATCGCTAATAAACAGACTTATTAGTTATCCTGGATAAAGCATTCTTATTTCCATAATATCGAATAGAGCAATGCTATTCATCATTAGTAGAGATAATTATGTTTTGGCCTCCTAATTCATTGTCCAATGGAATTGTAATGCATTTTAATGCAATGGAAATGAATTAAAAGGGCCGACTATCACCTATAGTGGCGATCATTTCTACTAATGATGAATAGCAATTACTCTATCGAATAGCACTATTGGTCCTTTTATTTGTTCTTTTTTGTTTGAATAGATATTCAAATCTCGAGACCTACTCTAATTTGCAGGGTTAGATTCCTGTATAAATGCGAATCATTCCTCAATTACATATTATTATTATGTCAAGATGATTCTGAGAAGCAACCACAGCAAGCAAATCTATGTTACAGTTCGTATCGACAAAATTACCCGAAGGAAATAAGATCACAAAAATTCATAGATAAATATATTTGATGATTAAAGTCCCCCCACGCCCTGCAAAATAAAAAAAAACAAAAAAAAACAGCGGATTCGATAATGACCTTGCATTCAATCTGTCCAGCCCTTTCTGGGTTCCCTTCCCTTTGATTTTCTCTCTCCTTAACATCCTTCAAAAGAAAATTCATACATGGGTAAAATAAAATATTAGGAAAATTAACCAATCATCAATATTTCCAAGATTTCAAACTGAGTAACAATACTATACTAAACTCCACGACAGGCGAGAAGATTTACATAAGCAATGAATGTTAACAACTTCATTATCTTTAGTAATGAAAACACGAATGTTAATGAAACAAATTTATTTCTGTTCATATATTGCAACATGTGGAAGAAATTAATATGCAAAAATTTAGAACTAATGTAGAATGTGCGCATCAAAGACCATATTTAGGGAATATAAAAATGAGTTACTGCAATATAAGAAGGATCTACCACAGCATTTGATCGGTCAAACAAGACATGAATTCATGCATAAGAAACATGCAGATGTCTACAGATGCACACACAATTCTTCAAAATATTACATATACTTGTATAAACATCTCTTACTTCTGGAACAGTCAACAATACACACAATCCAATTATAAATACTTTTACTAACTCGATCTCAAAAACACTCCTTTAGTAAAAACTGATTGAAATCGCTCCTTTAGTATTATTATTTAAAGTAGCAAAAGACCCTTTTTTTTACCAACCTAGCCCTTGAATCTACATAATAACATGGAAATCTAGGAGAAGAAGAAGATGAAGATGATACAATCTATGTACAGACGACTTACGACATTCTAAGAGATTCGACAACTTCTGATCAATCAAATGACTCCCATGCATCACTCAAGGAGACTTGTGTGAACTATTTTCCAATCACATTTCAATTTATTCCAAAAATTGTTTCTACTGCTCTTATTGCTTGTGAATCTTTTTTCTTAAAGATAAATACATTTTTGAGTATCTATATTTGTTCAAACTACGAGATCTAAATTAGGATTTAGGGTTTAATATAATGGAGCAGCTTATAGGGTTTCTTATAAGCCCACAAAATATGGGACACACACTATTTGTGGCTCATAAGATGCCATAAGTTGGGGTTTCCCTATTGACGCCAACACTTTGTATGGCTTATAAGAAAATTCCATGAGTTGCTTCCAAACATACTCATAGCCAAACTAAGCTGGATTCTTGTTTCTTGTCTATAGAAAACAGTTACATCCAAATGTTTATTTTTTGGTCGAAACTCAATGTCTAGTTTAACTTGATTGGGGAACTATTAATGGATTTGAATCCACAACAAACCTACATTGAAGGAAATTTTAAACAGGAAATCAGGAATGCATAAGAGAAACTATGAACTGTAGAAAGAGAATATACCGTTCGAATTGGCAGGCCTAAAAAGTTGAGCTTCAGAATAGGGGTTATTGGGCTTCTGCCTGTGCCATGATAGTATTTACAAGCCTTTCCGTACTTGCATCCCCCTGATGTCACACATAAAATCAAATCCATAAACTGATGCACAACCAAATGCATTCATCAAGATGTATGTATAGACCTGATGCTTTCTTCTGGAAGGGTGATTAAACTTGCAACCCGATCCGAATTTACAAGACCCCGTTTTCATATAGAACGAACAATCCTCAGCATCCGGTCTCAGCGGATACTGAGGCTTCCTACTATTATAATCAATATTCATCCCTCCCTTCACCGATTCCTCCATCGACTTCCCTTCCCCCTCATACTCTTCTCCACTGCTCTCATTCTCATCATAACCCCCATTTCTATCCTCATCCTCCCAATTCTGCACATCTTGTCCATCTTTTTCTTTATTTTGGTTCTCGTTTACCTCATATTCTACACCTTTTGCTCCATCAACATTCTCATTTTCAGCGGTTCTTACCTCATTCCCTTCCTTATAATCATCATTAAGCCCAGGACCCTCCTCCCAGGCCGCCTCAATCTCTGCCTGCTCCAAGGTCAGCAACTTAAGAGTGATTTTGCTCAACCCTTATATGGGTGATCCCTTCTCACTTCTCCCACTTCGTCTTTACTACTACTCTTCTTATTTGTTTCTATATAAGATGTTCTTCTACTACATTTAGACATAATCTAACTCAATTTTCATCGCTAATAAACAGACTTATTAGTTATCCTGGATAAAGCATTCTTATTTCCATAATATCGAATAGAGCAATGCTATTCATCATTAGTAGAGATAATTATGTTTTGGCCTCCTAATTCATTGTCCAATGGAATTGTAATGCATTTTAATGCAATGGAAATGAATTAAAAGGGCCGACTATCACCTATAGTGGCGATCATTTCTACTAATGATGAATAGCAATTACTCTATCGAATAGCACTATTGGTCCTTTTATTTGTTCTTTTTTGTTTGAATAGATATTCAAATCTCGAGACCTACTCTAATTTGCAGGGTTAGATTCCTGTATAAATGCGAATCATTCCTCAATTACATATTATTATTATGTCAAGATGATTCTGAGAAGCAACCACAGCAAGCAAATCTATGTTACAGTTCGTATCGACAAAATTACCCGAAGGAAATAAGATCACAAAAATTCATAGATAAATATATTTGATGATTAAAGTCCCCCCACGCCCTGCAAAATAAAATAAAATAAAAAAAACAGCGGATTCGATAATGACCTTGCATTCAATCTGTCCAGCCCTTTCTGGGTTCCCTTCCCTTTGATTTTCTCTCTCCTTAACATCCTTCAAAAGAAAATTCATTCATGGGTAAAATAAAATATTAGGAAAATTAACCAATCATCAATATTTCCAAGATTTCAAACTGAGTAACAATACTATGCTAAACTCCACGACAGGCGAGAAGATTTACATAAGCAATGAATGTTAACAACTTCATTATCTTTAGTAATGAAAACACGAATGTTAATGAAACAAATTTATTTCTGTTCATATATTGCAACATGTGGAAGAAATTAATATGCAAAAATTTAGAACTAATGTAGAATGTGCGCATCAAAGACCATATTTAGGGAATATAAAAATGAGTTACTGCAATATAAGAAGGATCTACCACAGCCTTTGATCGGTCAAACAAGACATGAATTCATGCACAAGAAACATGCAGATGTCTACAGATGCACACACAATTCTTCAAAATATTACATATACTTGTATAAACATCTCTTACTTCTGGAACAGTCAACAATACACACAATCCAATTATAAATACTTATACTAACTCGATCTCAAAAACACTCCTTTAGTAAAAACTGATTGAAATCGCTCCTTTAGTATTATTATTTAAAGCAGCAAAGGACCCTTTTTTTACCAACCTAGCCCTTGAATCTACATAATAACATGGAAATCTAGGAGAAGAAGAAGATGAAGATGATACAATCTATGTACAGACGACTTACGGCATTCTAAGAGATTCGACAACTTCTGATCAATCAAATGACTCCCATGCATCACTCAAGGAGACTTGTGTGAACTATTTTCCAATTAATCAAATCAACTCAGGTTATAAATAATTAGTACGAGATTAAAGATTTACCAATGATTAACTCATCTAAGTCGCTCATTATTTTTGTCAATTTCAATGAGTAAACAATTACGCCGCCGAAACCATTATGTCCAACTAATATATCAAGAAAACAAGACATCAACAACGAAATATCAAGACAGACCTTTAAATCTTATTCTGTTAACCAATCTCTTCACAGAAAAATTATAGCAGTTTCATTCAATCAAAGCCAAGTGATGGAAAAAAAAACACATAAAATCAAATCCATAAACTGATGCACAACCAAATGCATTCATCAAGATGTATGTATAGACCTGATGCTTTCTTCTGGAAGGGTGATTAAACTTGCAACCCGATCCGAATTTACAAGACCCCGTTTTCATATAGAACGAACAATCCTCAGCATCCGGTCTCAGCGGATACTGAGGCTTCCTACTATTATAATCAATATTCATCCCTCCCTTCACCGATTCCTCCATCGACTTCCCTTCCCCCTCATACTCTTCTCCACTGCTCTCATTCTCATCATAACCCCCATTTCTATCCTCATCCTCCCAATTCTGCACATCTTGTCCATCTTTTTCTTTATTTTGGTTCTCGTTTACCTCATATTCTACACCTTTTGCTCCATCAACATTCTCATTTTCAGCGGTTCTTACCTCATTCCCTTCCTTATAATCATCATTAAGCCCAGGACCCTCCTCCCAGGCCGCCTCAATCTCTGCCTGCTCCAAGGTCAGCTGATGAATCTCTCTCTCAATGGCATCCCTCAATTTCACCTCTTCCTCTTCAACAGCCTTCTCCTTCACCTCTTCATCAATACCCTTTGGAAGATCATTCTTCCCCTCAGGGGCATTTTGGGGATCAAAAACCTCCTTTTCACCACCCTGATCACTGATCGGATCAATCGGAGTTGATTCTGGGTTAATAAGCCCTAACCCTAGATTTCCATTTTGGGGCTTTTCAAATATTGATGATTCTGATGAATCCATGGTGGTTCCTCCACATTTCAATCTAGGATTAAACCGAGATAAATGCTCCTTTCTTCTCAAAAAGAAACTTTACAACTCTGTAAAGCTTAAAAATGAATTTTCCTTTTTCTTATTTTTCCCCCTTTTCGGGCGGTGGTGGTTTAGTGGCGGAGCTGGGTGAATGGAGGAACTATTGGTTATCTGAATGTACTGCCTGTGGATGTCTGAATGAATTTATACATGTAATTTTGTCTAATGTCAAAAAATCATATTGAGAAAAGAAAATTTGCCTAATAAAGAAAATAAAATGGTATGTGACTCAAACTTTTGAAATGTTGTGATTTGAATAGATTAATGCCTGTTCGGTAGCGATTATGAGAATTGATTTTTTGATTGTTAAAGGGAAAAAGTGGGTCCCACTTATGAGTGAAAAAGTGAAAAATGATGATTGAAATAGTAAAATAACGATCCAAAATTGATTTTATTGTTTGAAAAATTGCTACCAAACAGGAACTAAGAGTCAAAATATCGTGATTTAAGTAGACGGTGATATCATGTATGAACCTGTAGATTGACAAAAGGAAAAAATTATTGTTTTCGAATTTTTACAAATAGAGTAATTGGGTTCTCAATTAATTTTATTTATTTTTTAATTTCGAAAAAGTACTTATTAACCGAAACTAGTTTTAACTATTTTAAAACTATTTTTGAGAAGATTAATATTTTTAAACTTCCCTAAAACATTCTATTCCATTACGATTTTAAAATATCATCCTTATTTATTAATTAAAAGAAAAATTTACAAAATACACCATATATAGAAGGTGTAATTACAATTTGCATACCTTTCTTTATAGATTTACATTTCGTCCCTAAAATTTTATAAATATGTCATCTTTGATCGGTCAAACAAGACATGAATTCATGCACAAGAAACATGCAGATGTCTACAGATGCACACACAATTCTTCAAAATATTACATATACTTGTATAAACATCTCTTACTTCTGGAACAGTCAACAATACACACAATCCAATTATAAATACTTATACTAACTCGATCTCAAAAACACTCCTTTAGTAAAAACTGATTGAAATCGCTCCTTTAGTATTATTATTTAAAGCAGCAAAGGACCCTTTTTTTACCAACCTAGCCCTTGAATCTACATAATAACATGGAAATCTAGGAGAAGAAGAAGATGAAGATGATACAATCTATGTACAGACGACTTACGGCATTCTAAGAGATTCGACAACTTCTGATCAATCAAATGACTCCCATGCATCACTCAAGGAGACTTGTGTGAACTATTTTCCAATTAATCAAATCAACTCAGGTTATAAATAATTAGTACGAGATTAAAGATTTACCAATGATTAACTCATCTAAGTCGCTCATTTTTTGCTAGTTTCGAACAAAATTATCTATTCAATTACTTGAACATAGAAGTAAAATAAAATATGATTCAAGATTCAAGAAAGATATTGAAATGTTGCCGTCAGTATAAACTTTTGATGAGTACAACTTGTACGCAGTTCTTTTCGTTTTATATCATTTATATTGAACCAACTCATCTAAAAGTTTAAAACTTTTTAACGGGGGTAGATTAATCCATTTATAAACACATAAAATCAAATCCATAAACTGATGCACAACCAAATGCATTCATCAAGATGTATGTAGACCTGATGCTTTCTTCTGGAAGGGTGATTAAACTTGCAACCCGATCCGAATTTACAAGACCCCGTTTTCATATAGAACGAACAATCCTCAGCATCCGGTCTCAGCGGATACTGAGGCTTCCTACCATTATAATCAATATTCATCCCTCCCTTCACCGATTCCTCCATCGACTTCCCTTCCCCCTCATACTCTTCGCCACTGCTCTCATTCTCATCATAACCCCCATTTCTATCCTCATCCTCCCAATTCTGCACATCTTGTCCATCTTTTTCTTTATTTTGGTTCTCGTTTACCTCATATTCTACACCTTTTGTTCCATCAACATTCTCATTTTCAGCGGTTCTTACCTCATTCCCTTCCTTATAATCATCATTAAGCCCAGGACCCTCCTCCCAGGCCGCCTCAATCTCTGCCTGCTCATGCGTATGTAGTTTTTGATTGCATAGGAGTCCTCTAGAGGAGCAGTTCAACTTTTAACATTCTGTGGAAGCTTTCTAGAGAAACAATATGTTAGTTAGCTTATTTTTCTTCTTTGAGTTGTATGAAATTATGAATTATTTGCCCCTTCCTTAAAAAAAAAAGGTTGAACCCCAATCTTGAGAGTTCTCACCGTCCCGCCCCTAGAGCTTTGTGAGGGAGGTAAATCGCGGGATGTGCCCCAACAGGCCAGGGAACAAGAGCTGCCTATATACTGCGCCTACAAGGAGTCCAATTCCATGTCTCAAGAATCGAACCATCACACTGCGACTGCCAACAAAGCGTGAGATAACTTCACTCCTACCCTTTGTAACACTGAGCTATGTCCCGGGGGCATATTCGCCCCCTTCCTTTATTACCCTACTGGGGAATAAAGCAAAGGCCGTGATTGAATGGGCCACCTTATTACCCTTTTGGGAATAAAGTGATGACAAGAACCACTACTCACTGGTGAAATTGTTATAAATATAAATCATGAGGTGTGAAAAAATTTGAGATGGGCTCTGCTGCGGGCCGGTCCAAGAATACTCCTTGACTGTGTTGGGCCCCCAAGTGGGCTTGTCCAATGCTGATCGTGGAGGACCTTGGGCAGGCCCAATACTCAGGCCCCGTTGTATCAGCAAGCACGAAACAACATGTAATGTCATGCTCACAATAGAAACACGATGGTAAATTTCATTTTTGCACCCCTAATAGAAGGCCATATAATCGAGACTTTAGGCCTTGAACCTGCTTCAGGAAACTTTGCACGTCTTTGCTATCCTTTGAGAGGCCTAAACTCTAGAGAAACTTTCTATTCGAGAATATTTCTTGACTTGTAACTCATGGTGAGAATTTTACGATATGAAAATGTGTCTTGTATTTTCCGTCTAGCTCGATTTTAATGAAAATACGATTGGACCATTTCTGGCAGGAATTTTGAATGATGAGTTACTAAAATTGCTCTGACTTTACAAGGCTAAATTTGATTGTTCCTAATCAACTACCTCACAAGAAAATGGGACAAAATCATTTTCAGTTTAATTTTTTTCCTCTTAAATATTATATTTTCAAACGAAAATAAGGACAAAACTGGAAAGTCCAGACAAAGGAAATCAATTTAAACAAGCCAAAACTGCTATATAATGACAAGTATGGGCAGCTATCATATGTGGTCCCTGCAACAATTTACAAAATCCCTATTAGGTAGTGTATTAAAAAATATAACACATATTTTCTTAATTTAAGGTTCAAAAATAGGTGATGTTGAGAGGTACCTTCTTTTCTCCTCTCTTGAAAATTCTTATATTCACCTGTATCACGTTTATTACGTAATATTGAATATAATGAAAAAGATACTGAGGCTTCCTACCATTATAATCAATATTCATCCCTCCCTTCACCGATTCCTCCATCGACTTCCCTTCCCCCTCATACTCTTCGCCACTGCTCTCATTCTCATCATAACCCCCATTTCTATCCTCATCCTCCCAATTCTGCACATCTTGTCCATCTTTTTCTTTATTTTGGTTCTCGTTTACCTCATATTCTACACCTTTTGTTCCATCAACATTCTCATTTTCAGCGGTTCTTACCTCATTCCCTTCCTTATAATCATCATTAAGCCCAGGACCCTCCTCCCAGGCCGCCTCAATCTCTGCCTGCTCCAAGGTCAGCTGATGAATCTCTCTCTCAATGGCATCCCTCAATTTCACCTCTTCCTCTTCAACAGCCTTCTCCTTCACCTCTTCATCAATACCCTTTGGAAGATCATTCTTCCCCTCAGGGGCATTTTGGGGATCAAAAACCTCCTTTTCACCACCCTGATCACTGATCGGATCAATCGGAGTCGATTCTGGGTTAATAAGCCCTAACCCTAGATTTCCATTTTGGGGCTTTTCAAATATTGATGATTCTGATGAATCCATGGTGGTTCCTCCACATTTCAATCTAGGATTAAACCGAGATAAATGCTCCTTTCCCCTCAAAAAGAAACTTTACAACTCTGTAAAGCTTAAAAATGAATTTTCTTTTTTCTTATTTTTCCCCCTTTTCGGACGGTGGTTGTTTAGTGGCGGAGCTGGGTGAATGGAGGAACTATTGGTTATCTGAATGTACTGCCTGTGGATGTCTGAATGAATTTATACTTGTAATTTTGTCCAATGTCAAAAAATCATATTGAGAAAAGAAAATTTGCTTAATAAAGAAAATAAAATGCTCGTTCGGTAGTGATTATGAGAATTGATTTTTTGATTGTTAAAGGGAAAAAGTGGGTCCCACTTATGAGTGAAAAAGTGAAAAATGATGATTGAAATAGTAAAATAACGATCCAAAATTGATTTTATCATTTGAAAAATTGCTACCAAACAGGAACTAAGAGTCAAAATATGGTGATTTAAGTAGACAGTGATATCATGTATGAACCTGTAGATTGACAAAAGGAAAAAATTATTGTTTTCGAATTTTTACAAATAGAGTAATTGGGTTCTCAATTAATTTTATTTATTTTTTAATCTCGAAAAAGTACTTATTAACCGAAACTAGTTTTAACTATTTTAAAACTATTTTTGAGAAGATTAATATTTTTAAACTTCCCTAAAACATTCTATTCCATTACGATTTTAAAATATCATCCTTATTTATTAATTAAAAGAAAAATTTACAAAATACACCATATATAGAAGGTGTAATTACAATTTGCATACCTTTCTTTATAGATTTACATTTCGTCCCTAAAATTTTATAAATATGTCATTATAAATAGTTGAACAAACAAAAATAATCGCACCTTATATATCACCATGCACAGTCTTTTGCATACTATTTTCTAATAAATAATTTTCATTAAATGTGTTTTTCCTTAAGGGATAATTTTTCTTTTTGTATATGTAATTTATAAAATTTATTATCGTTTTTCCTAAACTCTAATATCAAATCAATAAAAAATATTTTAATAAAATATTGAAAAGTATGGAAAATACATCATTTAACTCTTACAATATTGTAAAAATAAATAAAGATTCTTATTTGATATCATTTAATTAATAAACTTTGTTCAACAAATGAAAATTTTAAATCAACCAATTA